TGGCAAAACGTTCATCTTTATGGCTGCTATTCGGCCTAACAAGGAAAGTTTCAGTCTTGACCAAGTTTCTAGATCTTTTTTAACTTCTAACCAACATTTTTCATAATTGTCTTTAAATAAATTCAAATTTTTAGGCGTCAAGTTTACCCCCAGGTATTTCACTTTCTTAACCACAGTTAACTCTGTTTCCTTCTGGAACCCCTCTGTTTCTAAAGGCGTCAAGTTTTTCCCCAAAACTTTAGTTTTTTGTTTGTTCAACTTAAATCCTGCCACCCGACCAAATTCTTGTATCAGTTCCAAAACTCTTTTTGTACTAGATTCTGGCTCCTGTAGTGTTAAAACTAAGTCATCTGCAAATGCTTTCAGTTTATATTGTTTCACTCCGACCGTGATCCCCTGTATTTGCCGGTCCCTCCTAATCATGTTCAGCAAAACCTCCAGGACTGATATAAATAATAGGGGGGATAGGGGGCACCCCTGGCGTGTTCCTTTTTCAATATGGAACTCCTCTGTCACCACATTGTTCACTATCAACTTAGCTTTTTGTTCTGAATAAATTGCTTCTATGCCATTTTCAAACCCCCGTCCCACTCCCATCCCTTCCAAGTTTTTCTTCATAAATTTCCAAGAAATATTGTCAAAGGCCTTCTCAGCATCAATAAAAATTAACACTGCTTTAGTGTTAATATTTGTTTGCAAAAGTTCCAGAATATCTATAATATTCCTAGTATTGTCAAACAGATGCCTACCAGGGAGAAAGCCTGCTTGGTCCTTATGAATTACTTCATTTAAAACCTTTTTCAATCTGCTTGCCAAGATGTCTGCAAATATTTTGTAATCCACATTTAGGAGTGAGATGGGACGGTAGTTCCTAAGTTGAGTCTTTTCAGTTTCCACTTTGGGTATCAATGTGATGAAGGCTTCTTTCCACGTTTCCGGTGCCCTTCCTCCCCCCATAATCTGATTACAAACCTCCATTAATGGTTGAATCAGATAGTCTTTTAGTGTCTTATAGTACTTGGAGGTAAGCCCATCTGGGCCTGGAGATTTGCCCAGCTGCATATTCTGAATGGCATCCTCGATTTCCTGTTGTGTTATTTTACAGTTCAAGATTGATTTCTTCTCTTGAGATAGTTCTGGTAAACCGTTGAGTTTCAAAAATCGTTCCATCTCAGACACTTCCTCAGGCCCTTGTGTATACAACTTTTTAAAGTATTTCTGGAAACACTTTCTAATTTCACCTGGTTTCTGGATATTTTTCCCTTCCACCTCTAGATTGGTAACATAGTTAAGTTTCTGTCTTTTTTTCAACTGCCATGCCAGCAGTTTCCCACATTTATTTGCTGACTCAAACGATCTTTGTCTCATTTGTTTAATTTTCCATTCCACTTCTTGATTTATCAATTTCAAGTATTGTGCCTGGTGGTATTTAATTTCTCGCAAGATCTCTTTAGATTTTGGTTTAGATCTCAATCTTTTCTCTCCATCTCTTATCTTCTCTAATATTTTATCCTTTTTCCCATTCCAGAGTTTTTTCTTAATTGTGTTTTGTTGTATCAGAAACCCTCTCATTACAGCTTTACTCGCGTCCCAGATTGTTCTTTTTTCCACTGAAGTGTTCAAGTTGATTTCAAAGTAGTCCTTTAAAGTTTTTTGGGCCTTCTTTACAATCCCTTGATCTCTAAACAGGGTGTCATTCATTTTCCATCTGAAGGAGCCGGCTGGAGTAAATCTCAATTCCATTTTCAGGGCGTTATGGTCGGAGCAAGTCTTTGGGCAGATTTCCACTCTTACAGTCTTTGGTGCCAGCCCTCTAGTTGTCCAAATTTGGTCGATTCTTGTCCATGACAAGTGGGCCTCAGAAAAGAAAGTTCCCTCTCTACCTAGGGGGTTCCTTGTCCGCCAAATGTCAATCAAATCCATATTGTCTGTCAGTTCAAAAAAGGTTTTCGGTAGTCTGCCATCCTTGGTTAAATTTTGGTTTTGTGACTTATCCATCAAAGTAGAGACCACCCCATTCATATCTCCCATCATAATGATGTTCGAATAGTCCAGATAGTCCAGTAATGTCTCATGTAGCTTCTTATAAAATTCTGATTTCCCCTCATTTGGTGCGTAAATTCCTAATATCAAAACTTTTTCTCCTTGAGATTGTATTTCAATTGCCAAAATTCTTCCTTGCTCATCTTTAAACAAAAATTTCGGTGCTAGGTTCTCCTTTACGTAGATCACCAGGCCTCTCTTTTTTACTTTGTCTGATGAAATAAATTCTTGTCCTAGTCTTTTGTTAATTAGTACTTTCCTGTGGAGCCTAGTCACGTGCGTTTCTTGCAAGCAAATTATATCCAAATGTTCCTTTTTCAAAATATGAAAGATCCTTTTTCGTTTTTCCGGGGAATTTGCCCCATTAATGTTCCAACTGTACAGCTGCAGAGACATCCTGTATAAATCTGTTGTTGCTCTTTAAGGGGTGTCCTCCTTTTTGTCCAAATCCGAGGGCGATGGTACAGGTTCCACTTCAGACTGTGGCGGAGGCCAAGGGACTGCTGTTCCCTTCTGAAGGTCCTCTCCGTGGTCGTGCAGGAACTTCTGGTTGTCCTCTTTTGTTTTAATTCTAACCTTCTTTCCTTTGTATTTGAACGATAGACCTTGTGGGAACTCCCACCTATAAGGTATCCCGTTGCTTCTCAAAAGTTTTGCTAGGTCAGTATAGATAGATCTGAGATCCAGTAATTGTTTTGGTATATCCTTGTAAATTTCCGCTCTTCTGTCCTGGATCTCAAGTGATTTATTAAAATGAAGGTCAAGTATCTTGTCTCTCTCCTGTTTGGTCCTTAGTATAATCAGACAATCTCTGGGTCTGTCCTTCCTGGCGACACTTCCCAATCTAAATGCAGTTGTTATTTTAAAATCTTTAAAGAAACTCTGTGCATCAAGAGTGTCGGTTAAGTGCTGGATCTCTGGAGCTTTTTTTATCCACCAGGTGTTTTTTAGTTCTCTGGTTCTTCTTTGAACCTCAGCCTTAGCGTTGGCATGGGTTTTTTTCTTAGTGGCGCAGTTTCTGTCTCTTTGCCAGTTCTGAAAGGCCTTCCTTTTCTTGTCAATCATGCGTTCAATCTCACTGGCCTTCTCATCAAACCAGTCCTGGGGTTTCTTGGTTTGGTATCCAATAGTTTGTTCACAGGCTGCAATAATGGATGTTTTTCGCTTGGTCCTGTGTCCCTTGATGCTATCAGGGAATTCCAAAAGCAGATGGCCCTTAAGAGTCATTGGGAAGCAGTCCCGCTTAATAGGATCTTGAAGGGATTGAGTGTTCATTTTGTGCCTTGGTTTCCTTCCTTGAACCCTGCATTGATGTATAATCCTGATAGCCATCGTGGAGTGTATTAATCACTGATCTGTCCAGCAATCGTCAGCACTCGTCATAGCTGTGGTAAGGAGCACATCACAGCAATCTTCAGCTCAGACAATTACATAGTCTAAGAGGTGCCAGTGGTTTGACCGACGATGCCTCCATGAAGTTTTTTTTTAAAAAAATTCTGTCAAAAGAGTGTGTTGGTAATAACAAGGTTGTGCGCTGCACATATCATCAAAAGTAAGATTCCGTTCTGGCTGCTATTGCCAATTCCTTCTTTCACAAAAGTCCCAGGCCACAGATCGGAATCTCATCTAACTCTTGCATTAAAATCATCCGGGAGGATAATTTTATCCTCCTTAGCCGTCTCTGATAGGATGGTATCCAGCTGAGAGTAATTTTTTTCTGTAATGTCTTCATCAGCACCCAGTATTGGTGCATAAGCACTTAGAATAATAGCCTGTTGGCTTTTGGTGAGCTTTATTTGAAGGGTTGAGAGTCGTTCATTAATGCTGGTAGGGACTTCTGACAAGAGCTTCACAAGATCATTTTTGATAGCAAAGCCTACTCCATGTATTTGACGTTCTTATTCACATTTAAAACATTTTATTTGCAGCTATATAGCGGCCACCTCTGTAATTTCCCACAGGGCTCAGTAGCAATACCATTTTGCTGAGGGGCACTGCAACCATTGATGATGGAGCCCTGCCACAGCTGTCCTGCTCCTCTCTGGCAGGGAATCCACACAAGCCCCCTGGGCCTGGACAGAAGGAAAAGAGAAAGGGGACTTTGTGCTGGCATGGAGATCAGGGAGGCCCATAGCTGGTCAGAGGCTACTGCAGCTGAAAAGAGCTGCCCCCTGCCCACTTTTTAAGCAGCCATTGGCTAAAACCAGAGTTTTCCTAGGATGAGACACCAGAGAGGTGCTAATGCTCTAGATTTGCTACGTGGCCACCACCTACTGGTGCAAAGTGTCCATTGTAAATAATTTGAACCGCAGAAGGTTTATACAGAATGTTATGATCCCTTCCATATTTTTAGGCTCTGCAGGCTTCCCTGCTGCTCATGCCGTTGAATCCACAGTGTGATACACAAATGGCCACTATTAGAAAGGCACAACTAGTCCTTTCCAAGTCTTTCCACATGAAATTGTTTTTTGCGAAAAAGGGACATTTCTTCCAGATGAAGTACCAATATTTCCTTTAAGTCTGGTGTCAGTGCAATATTTCATTCCTAAGAAACTACATACTTCTCCCAAATCCATTCCTGTTGTGCTTTTTGTGAACTTCCCTTTAATTGTTTACAAACTTAAAAAATTCTCTGCTGTAGCCCTCCACTGTACAACCCCACGGCTGGAACAGGCTCAATATTTCCCTTGCTATTGTTAATTTGTTTCTAATTCTCATAAAGTTATTATAACAAGAATAAGTAAAATATTTAAATGTGTGTGTGTGTGTACAAAAGAAGCTCTCTATAGTATACTAAATTTGCACTAGTCTGTCATTGCACTGCTTTTCTTGGCTGTTTCCCAAGATCAGAACCGTCTTTCCTATTGGGCTTACTGGCGCCTTGTGCCAGGGCGCTGGCCTCTCAGGGGCGCCCCAGCGAGTGGGGGAGCTGTGCGGCCTCCCCTTTCCCTGCACCCGCCAACTAGATGGCTGGCTGCTGGTGTGCAGCGCTCTCTTTCTCTCTCTCCTTCGCCCCCCCTGTGGGAAGAGGGAGGCGGGCAATGGAGAGGGGGAAGCGGAGCGCGAGGAGAAGGAGGAAGGAAGAAGAAGAAGAAGAAGAAGAAGAAGAAGAAGAAGAAGAAGAAGAAGAAGAAGAAGAAGAAGAGAGGCGCCCCCCCACTTGCCCCCTTTCTTCCTCCTGGGTTTGCAGCTCTGCTTGCAGGGTCCCCCTACCCGCCCGAGCCGTGAGTAGTAGCAGCTGCTGCCCTGGTTTCTCTCTCTCCCTGGAATCGTGCCCTGTGCTTAATGTTACGGGCAACTCTATCCCGGGGAAGGGAAGCCTCCTCCCATCGCTCTTCTTCTACTACTACTTCTTGGGGGGTGGGCTCCTTCTGTGCCCCACCACCACCAACAGGGTCCCTAGGGGTTGTAAAGCAAGCCAGACCATTTAGCACCAACCCCATTCATCCCAGCAGCTGGCCATCACCCACTCCAAGCCCTGCGAAAAATATCACCACCATTACTACTGCTACTACTGCTACTACTACTGCCCTCCCCCCATGGATATCAGGGCGGCTCACAGCCTGAAACTACGGTACTAAGCACGTGCTAGAAACTAGAACAAAGGCAAACCAAACCAAGCCAGCAACCCTCCTTCTCCCTTATTTGTGAAACAAGCCTGTTAATTGCCTCTCCAACTAAAAAAAAAGACACTGAAGGTTTTTGAGATCAATGCAAGCTAAAAAGCATTGCAGGGGGCTGGGCTAGATGACCCACAGGGTCCCTTCCAATTCTACATTTTTCTGAAAAACACACACGCACAACCCAACTATGATCCCTTTGCAGTCCTCACTCCAAGCAACTGTGTGTGAGGCTTGCTCCCCAGAAACTGTGCCTTGTCTTGCTACCTGTGGTTTTTGGTCTCCCGTCAGTTGGTTCCCAACTGTGTTTCTTGCTGCATTCCTACTGTCTACTCAGAAGTAAGCCCCTATTAGATTCAGCAGGGCTTACTCTCAGGTAAGTGCAGTTAGGGCTGCAGCCTTTGTGACCCAAGTTTTGGGTCCTTTTTAGGTTTGGATGTCACTGCTTTACACACACCCCACACCACACCACCCCACAACATTTGAAAACGTCAGCTTTGTACTTAAACACAACTTGGCCGGGAACTTCATTGTCTGTGTCTTTATTAATTTATTTAAAGAACAACAAACTGGTGATTGCTTTAACTTCTTGATATGTGGTGATTTGAATCATGAGGATAAATTAGAAGAACTGAGTCTTGAATGAGTCTTGCTTTGGAATTGAGGACTTCATTAGATTTTCTTCTGCCTTTTCATTTTATTTTGTTCTAAGGGCTTGTTCGAGATAATGAGTAAGCGTGGTGTCAGCTCCCAAAAGAAAGGTCAACAACATTGGGGAGAGTTGTTCCTTTCCTTAAAAAGGTCAACAACTTTGGGAAATGGGGGGGGGCAGAGGGATCTTTGCACCACAGCCCCGGATATACTTAAGACGGCCCTGCCCAAGATCCTGCCCAAGGCTGGAGGTGGGAGGGGGGGGCAGGCGGAAAGAGGAGGGCTCTCTTGTCTGCAGTAGATGACTTGGGTGATGGGGGGGAGAAGGGTCTCCGTGTGTGTGTGTGTGTGTGTGTGTGTGTGTGAGAGAGAGAGAGAGAGAGAGAGAGAGAGAGACTTTAATAAATGACTTCTACTGCACCTACCAATATATTATAAACATGCTCCATTTTTTTCTAGTTATAGAGTTGTCCTCCCTTAGGTGCACCTCTCAGAGTTCTGCTTACAAAACGCATGCCATTTTGAAGTCCTGGGAGTTTTAAAGCAATTTCCAAGCAATTCACAGGAGCCTCATCATCAGCCATTGCAAGCTCTGCTTCACTGAACCGAGAATAAAAAATTAACAGGAAATAAACTGAAATGTAGGATATGATAATAAAGGAATATTGCATTTCAGGGTTTGTTTCTGTGTTTATATTGACATCACAATAGAGCTGGCTGACCTTTTCATTCCGTGTTTTTGCTGTTCCAGGCTGCCTCCAGATGGGGATAGAAGCCCTTGAGACAGAGACAGAGGCCCTGTTGTCATCTTTCCTCTGGGAACTGCATCAGTCAGAAAATATATAATAATACATCACTACTTGGTGCTAAATTTTCAATAAACATTATCTGTGACTAATGTGGAACACCTGTGAAGAGAATAGAGAGTGCATCGTCTGGTAGAGGAGAAAAACGGAGGTAGCTGGGCAGCTCAAAACAGATTTACTTTTCCTTCCCTGGATGAACCCTAAAATTTGTTGAATGCACCAGGCAGTGTCCATCCAGCTACAGTTCTGTTCCTACTGCCTGGGAAGTTAACAGGGTGGAACTGAATTCTGAGTAGACACACAACAACACATACACACACACACACACACACACACACGACAACTTGAGGGAAGGTAGTATTCACAGTATAAATTAATGAATATAATGAAAAAGCTTTCCTTCATAGCAGTGTAAATGGAACCCTTCACAGCAAAAGTTCATTTGCTCATTCCTCTGCTTAACTGATTTATATTTAGAACCATTTTTAACAGGAAGAAATAATAGTAAAAGATTAGGACAGAAGATGTAAGACCAAGAAATCAAGATCTGTGACTGTAACATAGATTAATGCAGAATAATTTTTTTAAACTGTCTGAAAGGTTTTGGAAGAATTGACAATATTGGATTAATGTAAAGAAAACTGAATAATAATTTGTATAGATCATAATTAGAAATAAAATGACTGGTAGAAATATCTAGATTTCTGATTAGCTATAAAATATTTGAGAATAGTATTTTTCATTAAGGATGAAGTACTACAACAGCTGAAATGATAGAATGGAATATAAGATTAAGGCAAAATTGTAGCTTTAAAGATGGAGCTATTAACTAGAATTATTTTTCCTTTGCAATATATACTTATAGCAGCAACAGAAAAAAGAATGAGTGTATGGCAGTGAATAATTGATCATTTTGTTTGATATGACAAGAAGCTGAGGTTAAAATCAAATATGAGGAGGAAAATAATATCTTCATGGAAGAACAGGCAGGATTTAATAGTGATTTCTCTACTTTTCATGGTTTTGTGTTGAAGGGCAGAAAGAGATGATTGTCTGCAGCATTTGGGGATTTGAAACCTTGCTTTTGATGCATTGATCATGTTTATTATATGAATGATAAAACAATCTTTTCTACAGCAACCAGAGGGGGGGAACCTCCTGTCTTACTAAATGCATATGGCATAGTCCTCTTGTTTGCTGTTTAATAAGGATATCAATATAGTCTTACAGACCTTTTGGGGTACAAAGTTGGACTGAGGGGGTCCTCTTGGTAGTTCCTCCCCCCTCGGAGGCTGGGGGATGGCCCTGGAGAGGGCCCTCTCTGTGGTGCCTCCTAAATTGTGAGCTCCACTCTCCACAGAGGTCTGTGTAGCATCTTCACTATATGGCTCCCAGGAAATGCTGAAGGCACAGCTCTGTGCCCTGGTCTTTGGCACTCAAGAAGAAAAGGCTAAGGAGTAAACCCTACACAGATCTGGAGTGGAGTGGTTGGGTGGCGCATTACATGCCCCCTTCCAGCAACTCCTGCCGCCAAGTGGGTGCCAAACGTCTTGCTCTGCTTTGCAAGGCCAGGGGTCTTGTCATCTGGGCAGCCCAGGACCTCCAGACACAGGGCCCAGGCTTGCACCCCAGAGAAGTCACTACAGTGCAAAAAGCCGTTCTGAGTTGCCGGTCTCTACAGCCGCAGCGGGTGCTGTGATTCTCTGGTGGTTTGACTTTGCCCTGGGAGGGGTGCCCCATTGCCCCTCAAGACGGATGGATGATGCCAGCAGCAAGTTGTTTTAAAATGTTTTTAGTATTGTGCTTAGATTGTAATCCATTTTGGGACATCTGGTTGAAGGTCGGGTAAATAATAATAAGATTGAAAAGAGCTGTTACCTTCTTAATAACACTAGTCAAGGCATGTGTGGAATTTTATAAAATCAGTGTAAGAATTCTGTTGGAGAGACTGGATTATTTCACTTACGTTCCTTTTATTTTTATATGCTTTGTTATAGTTGTTCTTGTTTAGTCCCAGTCTTGTTCTTGTGGCCCAGGAGAGGACCACATCATTCAGCAACGCTGAAGATACGCCCGGCTGTCCTGTTTTCAGGACCCACCCTATGCCTGTGAGTGTAATTTGTTTTTAATACTGGAATTTAAATTGCTGTAACCTGTCCTGGGAAAACAACAACAACATATTTATAATTTATTAAATACATTTGTATACTGCCTAGATTTGTATACACCTAGATCTCAGGGCAGTTCCCAGCATTAAAATATATAATAAAAACAAGAAAAAGAATGCTCAGTTCCCTTATTTTGTATTGTGGGTAGATATCTTATTGGTGCTTCCACACATGGAATTAAACAAGTACTTGCTTTGTTGTTGTTTAGTCGTTGAGTCATGTCCGACTCTTCGTGACCCCATGGACCACAGAACGCCAGGCACTCCTGTCTTCCACTGCCTCCCGCAGTTTGGTCAGACTCATGCTGGTAGCTTCGAGAACACTGTCCAATCATCTCGTCCTCTGTCGTCCCCTTCTCCTTGTGCCCTCCATCTTTCCCAACATCAGAGGGTTTTTTCCAGAGAGTCTTCTCTTCTCATGAGGTGGCCAAAGTATTGGAGCCTCAGCTTCAGAATCTGTCCTTCCAGTGAGCACTCAGGGCTGATTTCCTTCAGAATGGAGAGGTTTGATCTTCTTGCAGTCCATAGGACTCTCAAGAGTCTCCTCCAGCACCATAATTCAAAATCATCAATTCTTTGGCGATCAGCCTTCTTTATGGTCCAGCTCTCACTTCCATACATCACTACTGGGAAAACCATAGCTTTAACTATATGGACCTTTTTTGGCAAGGTGATGTCTCTGCTTTTTAAGATGCTGTCTAGGTTTTTCATTGCTTTTCTCCCAAGGAGCAGGCGTCTTTTAATTTTGTGGCTGCTGTCGCCATCTGCAGTGATCATGGAGCCCAAGAAAGTAAAATCTCTCACTGCCTCCATTTCTTCCCCTTCTATTTGCCAGGAGGTGATGGGACCAGTGGCCATGATCTTCGTTTTTTTGATGTTGAGCTTCAGACCATATTTTGCGCTCTCCTCTTTCACCCTCATTAAAAGGTTCTTTAATTCCTCCTCACTTTCTGCCATCAAGGTTGTGTCATCTGCATATCTGAGGTTGTTGATATTTCTTCCGGCAATCTTAATTCCAGCTCAGCCTTTCACATGATGAATTCTGCATATAAGAGAATTCAGAGAGAGTGAATTCAGAGTGAGACAATATACATCCTTGTCGTACTCCTTTCCCAATTTTGAACCATTAACTGTCCTTTCCATACCGAGCGAAAGCCATCCACTCAGATTTGGTTAGACCTACAGTGGTACCTCGGGTTACAGACGCTTCAGGTTACAGACACTTCAGGTTACAGACTCTGCTAACCCAGAAATAGTACCTCAGGTTAAGAACTTTGCTTCAAGATGAGAACAGAAATCGCGCGGCGGCAGCAGGAGGCCCCATCAGCCAAAGTGGTACCTCAGGTTAAGAACCGTTTCAGGTTAAGAACGGACCTCCGGGATGAATTAAGTTCTTAACCCAAGGTACCACTGTATTTTAGAACCTGCTATACAGTAGTTCCATTTTTTTAAGCAATTCAGGTAGCCTCAATTGGTAGCCACTGCTATTGCTCCACAATAGGCAGTGCTTGCAGTCCTTGCAGTGCTCCAGACTGCTGTGGGAAGTTGTTGCAGGAGTTTAACATGTTCAGGGGAGTCAGGGCCCTTTTTGCAACAGAGCACTGGTGAAATGGCACAGTTGCTGCCAGTGCAAATGCAACCTTGAAGCAACTTCGCCCTATGCAGGGAATCAAGTTAAAGGAACTTTGTGAATAACTTGCCCTCTGTCTGTATGGCCATTCCCTGTCAGTGCCATTCTATAGCCATTAATATTTTGGTCAATGGCCCAAGCCAAAAATGTCAGTGTCAAATTCTATTATTGCAGATGTCTGGTCCATAAATCTCTCTCTGGGAGTTTAAGGTCAGCTTCCAGTCCAGATCACCATGACCCACATTCTATTTCTAGAGACATCAGATTCTATGATAGCGTAGGATTGGCTACTGAGACAAAATCTTCAGCATTGAGTTAGATGCAAGTCAATGCCATCTTGTAGAGGACACGTTCCTTTTTAATTAAAAAGGCGGGAGGGAAAGAAAGGCAGAAAAAAGAAAAAGACAGAAAGCAAGAGAAAAGAAAAGCAGCTTTATCTCTATCCTCAATATCCTTCTGCATGGCTGGCTGGCTGGCTGCATGCTCTTCATTTAGCTGTTTCCAGGCCTGGCTGGATGCTGAGGCAGAGCCATCGCTACAGGGGGACCAGCCAGGTTTTCTGCCCCAGGTGAAGCCCCCAAAGGGGTGCCATTGGGCCTCCCACACGGGGTGCATGTGTACACAAATGTGTGTGCAGGGGTCTTTGGCCCAGTTTCGCCCCTGTGGCGAGGAGTCATGCCTGGATACTGAGGAGTGGGCAGCACAAGAAGGTGGGGGTCAGGACCGGCTTGGAAGAAGGGATCAGTGATCTGAGCAGAGAAGCTGCAGGACTGGAGAGTGAGGAACAGGGGAAGGAGGAGGGCGAGATGGGTCTGTGGGTGGAGAGTCAGGGGCTTCCCCACATCCTCCTTCCCTGCCCCCACCTCTCCTGCTCTACTGCCTCCAAGGGCCAGGTGAGGAGGGAAGCAGGTGACACGCAGGTGGAGTCTGCACTGCTTGCACACAGCTCGGATGGGGGAGATGCACAAGCCAAGGTCGGGGGCAAGAGCGAGGCCTCTCTGTTGCGGCCACTGCCTCACTGGGTGCACACCTAGGAGTAGCTGAGAGACAGGGAACTAGTGGACATGCCTTTCCCTAACTTAAAAATTTATTTTCCACAATGAAGAGTTGATTCCTCCCTCTGGACATTTCTTACTTGTCAGGGCCATGACTGCTCTATATGCATTTCAGTCATCAACTGCATATTCTTTCTCACATGCACAGCAAAGTGTGCTTGTAGAACTGCCTGAAAGTACCGGTAACTCATGCCTAACTCACATAGAGGATTGCACTCTAAAACACAAATAAAACACAAATATTTTGGTAAATATGTGAGGATTTAGGCAAATTCTATAATGTATTTGACAATAGCATTAGTTTGGAGGAAAATCTTTAGGAGCAAAATTAAACTAGCTCTAATCCAGTGCCACCCTGGCCCCTTTCAAGCCCTCTAGATTCAGGTTTACTTACTGTATATATTGGATGTGTATCCATCTCTTCCGCCAAAGAACTTGAGGTCCAAACGCTGACTCACACGACTAACCCACCACACCCTTCATTTTGTCCTTCAAGATATACAGGCCTCATCCAGACCTTTTGCATCTTATCCCGTGTGCTCTGTGCTCATTTCACAATGTTAAGATCAGTTTTGCAAATTTCAGGTACAAGGAGAACCAGGCTGCCTGCCACCCATAACTGACCAAGTTGTGTCAACAATACCTTACATTAGCCATCCACGTTTCAAACTTTCATCGGTGTGTCAACATGCCCTCATTTATTTTGGATCACTAGGTCAGGATCTCGCCATCAGAAGCAAACAAGCGGCTCTTTGTGAGGCAATGACCATGGAAAAATATTGCTGGCAGGTGAAAGCAGCCTTGTTCCTTGGCACCAGCTGGGCCTGCAAACAAGAGTTTTCACTTTCCAAGCACTGCCTTATTTACTGAGAGCTGAACAGTCACTTCCTCCATCAGAAAGTTGTATTTTTAATTCCTCCGGGCTGCTTTTTACTAGCAATCTGCTAGTTATTATATGGTTCCACATGTACAGTGCAAAGACTCCAGCTGCCCCAGTAAATATTAGCATTACTGGCAGACTCCAGAATTAGGTCAAAGTCTGAGTAGCCTAGGAGAAAGAAGCCAGGCCTTGTTCCTGGAGGGGGTCCCTTTGGACCAAAGGGGGAAAACCATCATCAAGGGGGGGGGCAGAACTCAGTCGGCACTGATTCCAACCAACCCGTATGTGGTTGACTTGAGCTGCTTGCAAGTTCCATAGAAGACACCATGCAGTTTCATGTGGCCCACAGGAATCCGTGGGCTGAATCAAACTATTGAGCATAAACATCATACATCCCAAGAATGGATTTTGCATTGACCTGGGCAGGATTCTTCCCATGAGCCCAGGATGGAGCTGATTAACATAACTCTTTTTTTTCCATATCACTTCTGTCATTTCCCCTCTGTCTTAGAGTGAGAATCAACACATAATTATGTCAATTTTTTTAAGGTTGGGGTTTTTTTTCCAACTGAATAAGGTTTTTCACCATTGCCAGTGTGTCTACATGAGCCAATGTCTGCATGGCTCTTGCCACGATCTATGGAATGAGGGGATCACAACTGTTTGTAGGACAAAGAACTAACCTTGTAATGTGGATCCATCCCTTTTCTGCCTAGTAATCAAGTTATTAGAAATATATTCACTCTCCTAGGGGCCAAATGTTTCTCTCTTAATTAAAAGTAAAGTCTTTTCTTCTCTTTATTCTGGTGAATTTTGTGACCTTTTCAATATTAATGCTCAGTAAGCTGTTTTGAGAAGCAGTGATTGAAGAATATCTTTCCTAATTTCTTACCCTCTTGTTTTGTTTTCGTCTCTGAGCATCCTTCCATTTCCTTGTCTGTCTTACTCCCATGACAGCTGTCTCTAGAGGAAGGCTCTCTCCTACCAGCTCTCATACTCTCAGGAGCAGAGGGCCAATTACTCAGAAGGTAGAAATGGGCAAAGTACCAGTTTGATTCAGTAGCACTGTGATGACGTCTTTCAGCTGAGCCAGGTGCTGTATTGCTGTGCAGACCTGAGCTGCCGTTAGTGAACGGGGCACCGTGTATTAGTTCCCTCTTCCTGAAAGGGATATTCAGTGGAGGGCAGCCATAGGCAAGCAGGATGGGAGAGTTACAGGCAACTATTGAGTGGATGCATGCATTTGAAATAGAAAAAGAATCATCTATGTATCCTGGATCTATATGAGGCCAAACTGATGTTCATGGATGCTGTACATGTACAGCAGTTAACATTCAGGAAGGAAAGAGGAAATCTCCCAGGTGAGAGACAGGGAGGGGGAAGTTCCCGGGGGGGGGGGGTTGGAAGGCTCTATCATTCTTTTG